GAAGAATTAATAAAATTTAGTTAATAATTATGTTAAAAGTATACAAAATTTTATTAATTCTTCAACCATTTTTGAAAATTCCAGAATTTATTCTAAATGTAATATCACCGTCTTCCTCTGCGACCCTTTCACTTCTAAAAATTTGCATAACTGTGTTAAACTACTATAAAGTAGTGCAACATTTGATTGCTAATAACTCTGATCAACACTTTTAGTGAATGCTACAAATTTAAAATAGAGTTTGTATACTTTTAATGTAGTTATTAACTAAATTTTATTAAAATTTATTAGAAGACACTCCGACAGTTCTCTTCAGTGTCCAAACTGCATTCACATACAATCTTTCGACCCACTTGTCCTCCTGGTGTAAATTTTGGCTGTTTTTGAGCTAAATTGCCAACCTCACAATTTTGATTTATTTAATTTATTGCTTTTTGTTTAAATTAACTATACAGGTTAACAAAAAACATTTTTAACAATTTTTTTAAATAATTTTTTCAGGTACAACATTAAATTTATTGAAATTCCCAATCATGAAAATAAATAGAGAGAGACTATATTTGCGAACTAAACGTCTTATTGAACAAAAGAAAGAAAAAACAATAGAGAAAAAAATGAGAAAACATTTATTAAAAGAAACCAAAAATCCTCTGTATGCTACTCTAATTGGTAAGTTTAACTTATTATAGAAAATTTTAATTCATTTACAAAGCACAATCAACAAAACCGTTAACGTCCAGTAACAAAATTTAATGTAAAATTTGATGAATGTTTTGATCTTAAACAAGATCTGCATCAGATCATTCTATTCCAAATTTTGAGACCAGTGTGCAATCTGACCTCCAGAATGCCAGATTAATCAAAATATCCTTTCAAACCAATCATATCAGAGCTCTAGAAGCATTAGAAATATACAAGGCTGGCCTGAATGGCAATTGTATTAATTTTAAGGATGGAGAAAGTGTCTTGTATGCATGGCAATGCCTATATAAAAAACCAGAAAATACTGACATAAATTATTATTATTTTGTAATATGATATGTATTATATTTATATTGGATTTAATTTTATAATTCTTAAAAATATCACTGATTTTGTANATGGCAGGTGATAAAATATTGATCAGATGTTTTGAGAATGAGAGGTGGAATTTATGTCAAAGTATACTGAATGCAAATTAAACTCTGTGAATTCTAAAAGGATAGAAAAAAAAACTGTTTCTTTCTGTTTTGTACTGTTTTAAAGCTAAGGTGTTTCAAAATGGTAACAATAAATTATGCACATCTGTATAAATTTTTTTATATTTTAAGTAAAATATTTAAGGTTATAAAAAAGAATTTTTTTTTAATGCAAAATATTTTAAAGATATCTTGTAACTTAATTTATATACCTCTATGTCCTTATTTTCTATTTGTTATATATTTTGTCTACAAAGACAGCCTATTAATAGGACGTATCGCACTGATGTTTTGGCTTTAGCAATTGAGGAAAAAGAAATTTTTTATTCAGGAAAAACAAACAATCTTTATTGATCACAGGTATAATACAAGGTGATCAATAAAGATTGTTTTCCTGGAATAAAAAAATTTGTACCTTGATTGCTAAAACCAAAACACTAGTGCAATATATCCTATTAATAGGCTAAGTCCTCGTAGACAAAATATATAACAAAAAAAAAAAATATCTTGTAACTTATTTTAATTAATATTGATTTTAAAAAATTGATTATAAAATAATAAATTTGTAATTTGTGGTGCAGCAGAGTGATGCAAGGGTGTAATTGCATTTCCTGTTACTAATATTTGTTTTTTTTAATAATTAAAATTTGTATATATATATATATAAGTGTAAAAGAAAAGCCAGTAAACTACATTTTCAAATATTTAGTAACATAATAAAATATGATTTTTCCCTTTCACATTCATATGAAACTAATGACTCAAACTTGTGTGTGTGATTTGTTCAGTGATATTGTCATTTAGATGCTAGTTAGTAAATAATAATTTAAAAATTAAGTTTATAATTATGTATTTACTTTTTTCCAGAAATATCATTTTGTGAGGTCTCGGATGGAATTCGAAATTACATGCTAGAATGTTAACAAGTGTTTGACAAGGAGTTAAATTCCCTTTCAAATTCCTTTCAAATGAAAAAATGATATAAAGTTAAACAATGATATAGTGAAATGATGAATTAGATAATGTCATATGGAGACAGTTATAAATTCTTGATGTCAAAAAAAGTAAACACAAAATGCATGAGTTATAAGAAAGGGTTTCAAAGTTTGATAAATACTATCTGATATCCATCAGAAAATGGCATCAGGTTGAATGTTAATGTTAACCTCTCCTGCAGCATGAAAGGTTTAGAATTGTCACTTGGAGACAAGGATGGATCAATTGGAAAGTGAAAGTATCAATCAGAATGTGGGATCAGGGAGAAAATCCTTAGAAACTTGTGTTTTGAGGACACGAGATTCTTTCTGTAATATCTGTTGTTCTTTCTCCAAGATCCAAGTTCTGTTCTTGAGGATTTAAACTTTACTTATAAAAAGTTCTCATCCTGTGATCTGTCCTCTCTACCTGATCACTTTTTTTTAGAGTTACACTTTAGTCATGTTAAAGTTTTAACTTCTCTGTGTTGTGCTTTCTGAGTGGCTGACTGTTGGACAAACACCTCAGCCAACCCCAAGTTTCCATCTGATGCACAATTCAATTGGATGAAGTGAGCTCCATTGATTCACCAGTCATCAATTGTTGAGGGACTTATCCTAAACTGAGATCAGCAACATTCAGACCCTCTCTGGACTATTTAGATAGATATTAAGAATTGAGTCTTTCCTAGGATACAAATAGCCTGAAATTTTATAACCATTTCTTTACTCAAATACAGTAAACTCCTGATTATCCGGGCTAATGGTGGGGAGAGATGGCATGGATAATCGAAAAACATGGATAATCTGAACTATAATTATTTATTTCTAAAATACAACATATTATACATTTCTAAGGCAGACAATTATTTGAAAATGTTTAATGCTCATTATTATTAAGAAAATCTGTGATTTTGGTTTGTTTGCAGGAATCTTTTAATGATTTTTTAATATCAGTTCGAATTTTTCTAAGAGCTATTACAGTACGTCATTATACTTGAATTCTCATTGGTTGATGTACTCCAACAAAGTGTCAACAGATCTCAGGGACGTGTTGTGACTAATGTGATTGATAATTTCTTATTCTCCACTTTCAGCTTCATTCTCTTGCTCTTCTGGTTGAATGAGATTGGAAATAATATCTGTGTCACTCATTATTTGAAAACCTCTATCACATGAATCATGTTCTAACCACTCCTCAATATTTTCTCTATCAACATTTTCATAGCCATGTAAATTTGCATGTAGCTCACTTATTTCAGATACTATTTCACTTGTCTTGGGCTCTATAGAATCCAAAAAATCACCTTCTACATTTGGTAGAATTTTCCTCCACAATCGAACAAGTGTTATTGGCTTTATTTTATTCCAAGATTGAGTTACACCATGTATCACATCCAGTATTGTCATTTTTTTCAAAATTTAATCAAATCATCACCTTCACTACAAAAGCTCTTAATAGGTCATTGCAATAATGTCATTTCATTAATGAGATAACCCCTTGATCCATGGGTTGAATTAAAGATGTAACATTAGCTAGTAAAAATTTTGCAGCCATAAGGTCGTCCGTTTTCAATATGCTTTCATTTGGATGAGATGGAGCATTATCTAATAACAGCACTGCTTTCTGTGGTAACCACTTACTTTTCAAAAAATCTCTCACTTCTGGAACCCATATAGTTTTGAACCAATCTTCAAAGATCCTTTTATCCATCCATGCTCGTTTCTGGTTGTAATAATCAACAGGAAGATTTCTTATTACTGTTCCCTTAAATGATATTGGTTTTTTTGCTTTCCCAATCACCAAAAGTTTCATTTTGTGTGTTCCAGAAGCATTGCCACAACACATGATTGTGATAATTTTGATGATTTATGACCTGGGGTGGATGTTTCTTTAGACAAAGCAAATATCTTACTAGGCAAATACTTCCAGTAAAAGCCTGTCTCATCGGCATTACAGTCGACCCCCCTATAAGACAGTAGATACATTCCATTCTTTAGGAATCCGATTTCTTACGAGTCCTTCCAATCACAGCTCGACACGTGTCAAGTTTACGGACTACAGCTGTTTGAAAGGTTTTCTTCCATAAAATTAATCGATTCTAGACTAATCCCACTCAACATTTCCAAAATACGTATATTTTTTTTTTGGAAATAATCCGTATAAACTACGCTATAAACAAAAAATTGTAGGATTACTTACCTAGTGTGCACCATTCGACATCGCCATTGCTCAAGCTTGTTTTCGTCGCAGAACAACTCAGCACACACACACACACACACACACAACTCTTTTATTTACGTAATGCCGAAGTATTACATGTCTGGCACCGCTTTGCATAGCCAGTTAAATTAACATAGAAAAACATTAAATAATTGAAATTACAATTACAGTACATATATTATTTTTACAGTATTTTTACAATATCTTACAATATATGTAAGCATGTCTTCCGTGGCAGTTTTTTTTTTTTTTTTTTTTTTTTTTTTTTTTTTTTTTTTTTTTTTTTTTTTTTTTTTTTTTTTTTTTTTTTTTTTTTTTTTTTTTTTTTTTTTTTTTTTTTTTTTTTTTTTTTTTTTTTTTTTTTTTTTTTTTTTTTTTTTTTTTTTTTTTTTTTTTTTTTTTTTTTTTTTTTTTTTTTTTTTTTTTTTTTTTTTTTTTTTTTTTTTTTTTTTTTTTTTTTTTTTTTTTTTTTTTTTTTTTTTTTTTTTTTTTTTTTTTTTTTTTTTTTTTTTTTTTTTTTTTTTTTTTTTTTTTTTTTTTTTTTTTTTTTTTTTTTTTTTTTTTTTTTTTTTTTTTTTTTTTTTTTTTTTTTTTTTTTTTTTTTTTTTTTTTTTTTTTTTTTTTTTTTTTTTTTTTTTTTTTTTTTTTTTTTTTTTTTTTTTTTTTTTTTTTTTTTTTTTTTTTTTTTTTTTTTTTTTTTTTTTTTTTTTTTTTTTTTTTTTTTTTTTTTTTTTTTTTTTTTTTTTTTTTTTTTTTTTTTTTTTTTTTTTTTTTTTTTTTTTTTTTTTTTTTTTTTTTTTTTTTTTTTTTTTTTTTTTTTTTTTTTTTTTTTTTTTTTTTTTTTTTTTTTTTTTTTTTTTTTTTTTTTTTTTTTTTTTTTTTTTTTTTTTTTTTTTTTTTTTTTTTTTTTTTTTTTTTTTTTTTTTTTTTTTTTTTTTTTTTTTTTTTTTTTTTTTTTTTTTTTTTTTTTTTTTTTTTTTTTTTTTTTTTTTTTTTTTTTTTTTTTTTTTTTTTTTTTTTTTTTTTTTTTTTTTTTTTTTTTTTTTTTTTTTTTTTTTTTTTTTTTTTTTTTTTTTTTTTTTTTTTTTTTTTTTTTTTTTTTTTTTTTTTTTTTTTTTTTTTTTTTTTTTTTTTTTTTTTTTTTTTTTTTTTTTTTTTTTTTTTTTTTTTTTTTTTTTTTTTTTTTTTTTTTTTTTTTTTTTTTTTTTTTTTTTTTTTTTTTTTTTTTTTTTTTTTTTTTTTTTTTTTTTTTTTTTTTTTTTTTTTTTTTTTTTTTTTTTTTTTTTTTTTTTTTTTTTTTTTTTTTTTTTTTTTTTTTTTTTTTTTTTTTTTTTTTTTTTTTTTTTTTTTTTTTTTTTTTTTTTTTTTTTTTTTTTTTTTTTTTTTTTTTTTTTTTTTTTTTTTTTTTTTTTTTTTTTTTTTTTTTTTTTTTTTTTTTTTTTTTTTTTTTTTTTTTTTTTTTTTTTTTTTTTTTTTTTTTTTTTTTTTTTTTTTTTTTTTTTTTTTTTTTTTTTTTTTTTTTTTTTTTTTTTTTTTTTTTTTTTTTTTTTTTTTTTTTTTTTTTTTTTTTTTTTTTTTTTTTTTTTTTTTTTTTTTTTTTTTTTTTTTTTTTTTTNAACCATTTTTGAAAATTCCAGAATTTATTCTAAATGTAATATCACCGTCTTCCTCTGCGACCCTTTCACTTCTAAAAATTTGCATAACTGTGTTAAACTACTATAAAGTAGTGCAACATTTGATTGCTAATAACTCTGATCAACACTTTTAGTGAATGCTACAAATTTAAAATAGAGTTTGTATACTTTTAATGTAGTTATTAACTAAATTTTATTAAAATTTATTAGAAGACACTCCGACAGTTCTCTTCAGTGTCCAAACTGCATTCACATACAATCTTTCGACCCACTTGTCCTCCTGGTGTAAATTTTGGCTGTTTTTGAGCTAAATTGCCAACCTCACAATTTTGATTTATTTAATTTATTGCTTTTTGTTTAAATTAACTATACAGGTTAACAAAAAACATTTTTAACAATTTTTTTAAATAATTTTTTCAGGTACAACATTAAATTTATTGAAATTCCCAATCATGAAAATAAATAGAGAGAGACTATATTTGCGAACTAAACGTCTTATTGAACAAAAGAAAGAAAAAACAATAGAGAAAAAAATGAGAAAACATTTATTAAAAGAAACCAAAAATCCTCTGTATGCTACTCTAATTGGTAAGTTTAACTTATTATAGAAAATTTTAATTCATTTACAAAGCACAATCAACAAAACCGTTAACGTCCAGTAACAAAATTTAATGTAAAATTTGATGAATGTTTTGATCTTAAACAAGATCTGCATCAGATCATTCTATTCCAAATTTTGAGACCAGTGTGCAATCTGACCTCCAGAATGCCAGATTAATCAAAATATCCTTTCAAACCAATCATATCAGAGCTCTAGAAGCATTAGAAATATACAAGGCTGGCCTGAATGGCAATTGTATTAATTTTAAGGATGGAGAAAGTGTCTTGTATGCATGGCAATGCCTATATAAAAAACCAGAAAATACTGACATAAATTATTATTATTTTGTAATATGATATGTATTATATTTATATTGGATTTAATTTTATAATTCTTAAAAATATCACTGATTTTGTATATTTATATGTTTGATTTTACATTGTTATATTTTATGTTCTAATTATTTAAAAACATGTTTAAAAAATTTTTTTAAAACTTGTGTTCTGAGCATTCCAATTTGGAATAGAATGTTGGCCTGATGCAGGTCTTGTTTAAGATCGAAAACATTTATCAAGTTTTACACTAAATTTTGTTACTGGAGGTTAAAGGTTTTGTTGATTGTGCTTTGTAATTTATTCCAATTATTGAGAAGTTTGAATTAATTTTATGTAAAATTTGATATCAAAATGTTTTAAATATAAATAAGTCTCAAATTTGATGATTCATAATTTTTACTAAGATTATATTTTCACACTTTATTCATTGTTAATATATTAAAACTTGTGAAAGCCAGAATTGCACAGAACTCTACAATCTTTCTTGTTTAAACAGATTTTTCATCTTAGGCAAGCTGGAACAAGAAAATGGTCACTGCTTCAAAATGTGAATGTATTTATTTTTTAAACTAATTTTTAAGTTATTTACTATGTTCAGTGAAATAACCTCAGAATAAAAGGAAAAGGACACAAGAAATAAAATATCCATTCATGCATATTTTCTCATCCAAAAAAAAAAAAAAAAAATGTGTCAAGCACACATGTTCTAAGTGAAACTTCTTGCTTTTTCTTGCTTAAATATAGACTTTTAGATACCATCTTGGGTGATCTCTTGGTCAAACGTTTTCCATAATATATTCTTTTTAAAAGCATGTCAATACATTAAGAAAACAGAGCAACTGTTTTAATTTAAAACTAAGGTGATTTAAACCAGGAAAGAGCATAAATGTCGTAAAAAATAGAAAGCATAACAATATTTTTGAAGTTTTTGCCAAAATACTTTTGTTGTAAACTTCAAATAGAGTAATTGAGTAGAGTAAGTTTCTTGTTTTTATATGCTAAAAAATTTATCAAAATATAACCAACAGGAGAAACCACTCACAATGACATTCATTGTAATCATAAGGGTATAAATTCAAAAAATGGTGTACATTTTTGCTTGCATATATAGGAATTAAACACTGTTTAAATTAAATTTTATGTAAGACTTAATGCACATATTTGAGATTACTTATTAAAGTTTACTAGTTTTTAAATATTCCACTCTTGTTGGTTGATACAGTTTAGTTGGCTCTTAGGCTTTAATTGTATCTTTGAAGCAATTTATGAGCTTGTTAATGTTAGTTGTGATTTTATTTAACTAAAGTATTTTCTGAAATTCATCATCATATAAGCAAAATATATATTGATGGATTTAATTTTATTATTTTTGCGTCTGCTTTTCCAATTTAATACGTAAATTTCTGCCTATGACAGGTTCTAAGACAAATTAATAGCTGAGATATAGCACTTATAGTTCTCCATTAAAATCTCAAGTTTCATCTTAGACAGGATATTCTGTGATAAAATTTGATGAGAATGTTTAATTTACTGTAATTTTCTGTTTTTCACAAGTTTCCATCTTAAAGAAATTTTGTTTTTCACATATTTTACTGTATAAACTTTGAGATTAAGATATTTCAGATATAAGACTATAAGATTTCCAACTAAAGACAGGGTTAGATAGAATAAAGCAAATAGCACAAACTTTCTTTTAGCTATTTGCTTTATTCTATCTAACCCTGTCTCACACCCTTCTGCAGTAGCATTTAGAGGTATGAAACAGACTATACCTCTAGGCTTATCTAACAAAAAGGAAGAGATACCAAGAGAAAGACCTTTGATTTTTAATTAACTTAGAAATAATGAGGAACCAGTACAATACAACAAGCAGGCAGGGTCTTATGTAATCCCTAACATCAGGGGAGCAAAAGTCCTATGCAGAGTAGAACTGTATAGCCTTTAAAAGAAAGACTGAAGGGCAGCTTAAAAATTGTATAAAAAGTAGAAATACAACAACATTAGTAGAAGAGGCTCTTGATAAGAGTACACAAGTTGACTGGGCTAAGCATGCATTATTTTTCAGCATTGAAGTAATTTTCCAGTTACAGAGGAAAAGGAAGAAAATCTTATAAATAAATGAAAGTAAGTCTAGATCCTTGGATTTAGACAATATCAGAAATGAATAACTTTAAAAGCAAAGATAGAAAACACACTTGTAATAGTAAACCAATCATGCAGGCACAAAGAAAGGAATTTTGAAATTTTTTGTTCTGCATTTGATCTGAAGATGGATATAGGCTATATCTGAAAACATTTACTTGAAATGCTTTAAACTGACCTCTAAAAAAGTAATAAAATGATATTTAGTTTTTAATTTCTGAATTATGAAAATGATCATTCTTGAAAGAGCAGTATATGTTTTTAAAGGTTCTTTGATCTTTTGCATGAATATAAATACAGTAGAGCATCGTTTTCCGACTCAATTGGGGACTCAGGTTGGTCAGATAACTGAAAAAATCGGATAACCGAAAAGAAGGAAAAAAATACATTATTAGTATAGTATATTAGTATATCCCATGTAATTAGTATATTAGTATATCGCTATTAACCAACTTCGCATTGAATTTTCATCTATGTTAAGCCTAACAAATTTTTTAAAAAATAATAATCATTGCTATTGTATCGTTAAAAATTATTTTAAAATTATTTTATTGCTCACAAAACAAACAACCACTCATAATTAGAAAATTAAGTCTCGTTTAAATACTGGCCTCCCTTCAATGGTTGAGTTGGTGTTGCCAGCTAAAACACGCAAAAATTTAACAAAAATAATATTAAAGTAGCCAAGACATACCCAAATATTGTAGCACCACATCACTAGCGGACATTTGAAATTTGCTGATTAGAACGGTTAATCGGGGGTCGGATAATTGATGCTCTACTGTATCTTCATCTTGGCTTCTAAAAAGTATTAAATATTTGTTTTATTATATTTTCTTTCTAACCACGACCAGACAACTAAAGTTAACAAATCCTAATCTAATTTAACCTAACCTATCATAACCTTACTGGAAACCAAGCTAAGAGTCCCTAATTTAACTTACAACTAGGACTAACTGAATTTAGACTGAAAAAGAAGACAGAAAATAAGAATTAAAATACAAAGTTGAAAGGCAGCTATATACCGACAGTTGAAACAAAGCAAAGGAAAGCTAATTGCCATCTATGCCCCCGGAGTGAGTGCTCTCAAGAGCCCCACTAAGGGATATAAATGTGAGTAGATGATGGAGCATTGTACGTGTGTGAATAAGTTGGTGCAGGTTGCAAGGTCATTTATACCCTTCGAGAATAGCATCTCTCATTAAACTATCCCTAATGTGATTGTACCTATTGCAGTGAAAAACTAAGTGGTGTTTGGTTCTCCTGAATACCACAATTGCATTGTGGATTGTCTGCAAGGTTAAATCTATGCAAGTATTGCTTAAAGTTGCTGTGTCCTGTAAGTATCTGAGTGAGGGTGTAACTAGGGTAAAAGTGGCAAAGAATCGCAGTTGTGTCAACCTTGGGGATGAAAGTGTAGGTGAGCCTACCAGGGGTGTCATGGTCCCAGCTGTCTTGCTAGAGAATGAAGATTTGCTTCTTGATGTGATTGTTGATGTACGAGGTAGGAATGTAACTGAATATACTAGTGACTGAAGACTTTGCAGTTTGTTTGGCAAGATAGTCAGTGGTCTTGTTGCCAAGAACCCTACATGACCTGGGACCCATTGGAAATCTATTCTAATGTTGTTGTCTAAGTATCTGAGAATGTGGTGTATGAGATGGATGAGTTTTAAATGGCTATCAGACTTTGCAATCCTGTGTAACACTACCCTATTGTCAGAATAAATGTGATAGTGTAAGTAGTGTCTTTTGTTCTTCCTATGCCTAATGTGAATTAAGCTCATATAAATAGCTAAAGTTTCCACCTGTGCTATTGAGCAGTGTGTACCTAGATGGAAGCAAGTGCTGTGAAGTTCGCAGTCTAAGTTAGACCTCTACCAACAGTAAAACTACTCAACTAACTACAGGTACAGTACAGTAAATCACAAACAGTTAAGTTTTATGCAAGTGTATATGGTTTTATAACACAGTGTATAGGTGAAGACAAACATTTTGAAAATTTGGATGGGAGTTTTACTGAATAGATATTACATAAGCACTTTGACATAGTCAATAAATAAATATATTCTAAACTATTTGTTTTATGTTTTTTTTGGTCTACTTTTCACATACTCTGCATACTTTTATGTACAAAAAATAACTCTCCTGCTCTTCTGGTGCAAAAAGAAAATATATCTTCTTAAGATTTCTGTCTCCCTTGCTCAATGCATTGAAGCATTTTAAATTGTAAAATATGCAATAAGAATATGTAGTAGACTAAGCTGATGAATCAAAATGTAAACATTTATATAACTTTAAAATATTTCTGCATTATTCACTTTTCCCTTATCCTGAAAACTTTATAAAAATGGAGCTAGTATCTTCAATGAAGCAGTAAGGACATTGATGGATGGAACTTATTCAAGCAATGCAAGAAATATATGGACCCCAGCACCTATGAAAAGAATGATCAGTCCTACCAGTGTCTCTGGAAATTTCCCAACTTTCTGATGGTCTCATTCACTGCTGAATAAGCACTAATATATTGATATTTAGATAAAAACTTATCTTTTGCTGCTTGTCATGGATATTGCCAGCATACCTTTTCACTAGTGGGAAAATTTCTAAATTTCTTTTATCTTGATTCCAATATTTACAACTTTTTTCACTTAGATTTTATTATTTTCTTGTAATATCTTTGAAACACAGATGTGATTGGGATAAATTGGATATTAGGAAAATGTGATCTAAACCAAAAAACAGATCGGACAACCTTAATTTGATCCAGTTGAACCCAAATCATGTTTACATCAGTATTTCAACATTGGCATTTAAAGCACATGCATTACATACAAATCTGGCATTTAATGATTGTATATTATCAAAAATACTTCAAAAATGTTTTTTAACTTTCAGTTTTAATGAAATTTGTAATTTATTGAAATTTGTAATTGTTTTTTGATTTTGATTTACAATAACTGATTAACAAAAACTGTTAATCAGTTATTGTAAATCAAGTGTATGTTTGTGAACAGTCATCACTTGCATTCCCTGTTTCTGCCAAAGAAGTACAATGGATTGAATTTGTGTAGTAATATCTGAGATAAATAAGGAAATTGCATGTCAAAATTCTTGATTGTCTATGTGAAGTTGTGACAAAAGCAGAATTTGTGGAAGAGACAAAACTTCATCATTTACTATGATAATGCCTCTATGTATTGGTCATTCTTAGCTGACCAAAACAAGCATAATATCTCTCCAATTTACTTACTTCCTGTTACTACAAAGAATGATTACATTATCAGAAGAATAAAGGAAGAGATCCCTGGATCGCGACTTAAATACTTCTGATAATACTGAAGTTTTAATATCCAAGAGTAATGGAAGACTACATAGCATATTCAAAATCATTTCACACAAATATATTTGATGTTAGTTTCTTAGGTACTTAAATGCAGTTTATATTTGAGTATGGAACATAAGCCTTTGTTGCTATTGGATATTGAAACTTTGGCATTATCAAAAGTAGGTAAGACCATAGGCTTCTGGATTCTTAACCAGATAGCAAGCAAACTATCAGTGACCTGGCAGATGTTTCGAGAATTTTTTGCAGTTCAGTGCATTTAGTACTCAACAATGACTTGAACATTTATTGCCAGCAAGAATCTTATTCCTGTAGATTACAGACAAATAAATGTGAAATTTATACTCTAATAAGTGCTTAAGTGATAAGGTTATTCAGAATTCTTACCTAATGAGAACAGAATGATTACTGGTGACAAAATATAGTGTTTTGTGTATGATACCCTTATCAAATACCAATGTGGAAATTACCTAGTTTACAATTACAGAAAAGTTTAAGCTGACAAATCAAAATAGAAGATGATAGTTATGTGTTTTTGATATCTGTGATTTGATATGTCACAAATTTATTCCTGAAAGTCAGACTGTAAATAAGGAAATTGCATGTCAAAATTCTCGATTGTCTATGTGAAGTTGTGTGACAAAAGCAGAATTTGTGGAAGAGACAAAACTTCATCATTTACTATGATAACGCCTCTGTGTATTGGTCATTCTTAGCTGACCAAAACAAGCATAATATCTCTCCAATTTACTTACTTCCTGATCTTATCCTTTCAGACTTTTATCTATTGCTTAAAATAAAAGAGAAGTTGAAGAGTTGTAGGTTCCAATCAGCAGAAGAAATGGAAGTCAGTAACAAAAGCTGTTAGGTACATTACAAAACATTGGTTTTCAGAACTGCACTGACAAGTGAAATAGATGCTGACATAAATGTATAGCTGCATGAGGAGATTACTTCATAGGTAGTATGGTGTAATAGTTTGCATATGTTGTGTAATAAAACCTTTGTAAAAAAATTCTTGTATATTTTTATTTTATATAATTTGTATTTCTTGTAATGATAATGATTATTTATTTTTTTAAACTTATATCATTTATTAAAAATTAAAGTGAAATTTCATGTAGGAAATGTTGGAATGACATTTAAATCTGATGATATTGTGAAGTTTAATGATACTAAGATTGTTTTTGATGATCGATCAAAAGAATTTGCTCAAAGCCATTTTTGTTTTGATACACCTGGTGCTGTATATCATGATCAGGTATGTAATGTATTTTTTCTTACAGCAATGAGAGAAAATAGTTCTGATAAAAGAGAACAAATTTTTTTAAATGTAGAAAATTTATACTTTAGGGAAATATTGAATATTAATAAAATTGTTATCCTTCTTTACAAACATTTAAAAATCTGTTTCATAAAGTTGCATAAAATTGGTTGTGGCTTTTTTGTAATTGTTTCATTTAATGTAATTTTTTCATTTGTGTTAAACAAATGAAACAATTACATTATTTTTTCAAACTTAAGGGCTGCTTGAAAAATCATGACATTGCTTCATTTGTGTTAAAGTTGTAATTTTATGTTACTTTGTTTGTGAAGCAGATTTTTATTTTATTTTTACAGATCTTAAATATTGTATAACCAACAATATTTTTTAAAATATATAACAAAATATTATTTTCAGTTCTTCAAATATTTGGATAATATTTAAGGAAATGATAATATGTATCTGTAATTAGTTCTGTTTTTGGATTCGACTTAATTCATCAATATTTTGAGAATGGCTTGTACTAAAACTTGGGTTCAGTGCCAGCATTTATAATAGTCAATAGACTGAAAGTTAACATTTTCCTAAATTATTTTTCAGGACTATAAACGAGTATTTCATATTTTCAATTTCTGTTGAATATTTTAAATTTAATATCTGTTTATTAACTTCATGTTTCTTATGTAAAGAATTCTAAAGCTCTTTTTTTGTTTCAATATAATACAAGTTGAGAAACTGAATTATAATATCCAGTAATATGTCATTCAATAAACTCATCAATGTTCTTAATCTAATGCACATATCTATAAGCCTTTTACCAGTGCGCATCGATGGTCATACACATCACCCACTGCACGAACCATCTTAGATGGCTGGAGGCGATCTACATGTGCTTAAACACTATTAAAGAGAGTAATTGCAATAACTACAAAGAGGAAATCGCTATATCCACAGCCTGAAAGGCCTACTGGATAAAACTCTAAGATAGAACACAGCATGCATAGCGTGCAAATCCATAATGATGTCATCAGGTCGGGACAACGTTTCGGATTATATTTCATAACAACTTTGAATCGAAGTGCATTCTGTTAGGGAGGTTGTTATGTGAAGAAGAACCGTAATGGTTTGAAAACATTTGTAACTTTATTGTATAGTGTGATGAGATGCGCACCAGTAAAAGGCTTATAGATATGTGCATTTTTACAGTACTCCAGTACAGATATTCTACCATTGTTCTTAATCTAATTTTTGGAATGTTAAACAGTCACTGATTTATTAATTGTTGGAGACAGAGGAAAAATTCAGTTAGAATGAAGCTAGTGTACATTAAAAAAGATACTTCCTAAGCTTTGGATATTCATCATTAGAAACTTTGGTATAAGTTTTACAGTTAGAAGCCCTTTCTGATATTAACCATCATTGTTTATTAGGAATTACTGTATTTTTGCGGAATAATCAGCACCCCAGAAACCTGGGGTTACTGGCATGCTGATTAAACTGTGACTAAAAAAAAATTAATCAGATGTAACAAAACTAGTTGTTAAATAAATGTTAAACCAAAAAAAATCATTCTTCTGAGTACAATATTATATCATTATAAGTTAATCGAATTTGAGGGTTGGATGTCACACCAATCTTTTACTTAAACAAGTAAATTACTCAAACAAGCAGTATTTATATATAATTAACACCTTTTGTGATAATTTCTTTTCTTGTTTAAAAATCATTGTAATTTGACCAACATAAAATCAGGGAGAGAGTTTTTGTTTACAAGACAATAAAACAATTAGTGACTTATTGATATTAGTAATAGTAGTCAGTCAGTTGGACTACACTGACCATACACATCCTACCTTAAAAATAACACTTTCCTCTCAAATTTCACACAAAGTTATTAATTTGTGTAAGCTGAGATAATTTACAGGAAGTTTCTTAAATTTAATATGTTGATTTTTGCATTTTTGAATCAAATAAGAATAAAATACACATAAAAGAAAGCACTTCTAGAATTCCAAGTGTATTTTATGTTGTTAGAAAGAAGACAAAATGAAGAAATTAAACATATAATTGTAGTTTTTGATGTAATACTACAGTTTCTCAGTGAGGTAACTCATTCATATTTTTTTAATGTGCCCTCTAGAGAGGGATGTATAACTTCACTTAAATCAGCATGCTGGTTTTTATTGTATTGAAATATCTTATTTTGTGGTCTTCCCCGGATAGACCAGCATGTCAGTCATTCCAGTAGGACCAGCCAGTTCTAGCTGTTGACTCACTTGGGGCATTAGAAACACTTTTTAATTATGGAATGAAAGTTTTTTAGAAATGATCATTTCTTTTTATATTTTAAGCAAGTGTAATTCCAGCATGAATGACATATTGCAGCATGCTGTTTCCAAATATTACACATTCACTTCTGGTTTTTGTAATATGGTGTACAAAAGGAAATATTAACAGTTAAAATGCATTTTTAACAAGAATTGGGACATAAAAAATTAATAATTAATAAATGAGTGAAATTTCATAATCCAAGTTCATAAAACGTTTATAATAACTTACGATGTTCACAAGAACTACAAATGACAATGTTTAAGATATTTACAACATAGGTTTCACACAGAAAATAAATTAGAGTCCAAATAGTCAATTAATCCAGAACAGGTCCGTCGAAAAGGCACCTTACGACGTATTCCTGAGATGTAGTTAGATGTGTAATCCTTCCAGTGGTCATTGACGAGAACACACGAGACGACAGCAACCTTGCTTCAACAAGTGCATTTGACCAACACTTGAGTTCTTTTAGCTGAACTTAGGTGAACTTAACTTCTCCCACCTAAACTCAATCTTTTTATACAGATTAAAGATAGGGCTGATTGGTCAATCATCACTTCGTAGTGCTCTCGTCGGTCCGCAGATCATACGATGATCAACGGCCAATCAGCTATCCTGTTTTCAAAATTAACGGTTGTTTCTCAATCCGAGTTTCTATGGCGACAACCGTTGCTCATTTGAAAAAGAGAAAAAGCACGGGAATCATACGTCTAGACAATTCTATCATGACAAAATGTTACAATTCCTGTTTATCCTAAATGTCATATATGTAATTCTCTTTCAAGTAATGAAAACAGGAATTGTATCTGCAACAGATATAATATACTGTACATAAAGCCAGCCTGATGCTTGCTATAGAATATCATTTAGTAATTTTTATTTATAATTTCATTTTGAAATTATAAGTTGGTCTTATTCTGTAATATTTTTAATTTGAAATATTTCTTATTTTTCATGGTTAAAAGATTAATGATTACTTGATTTTAGAAATTAGATTAAAATCATGAGTTTATTGGGATCATCATTATTCAATGTAAAGATTTGTTTCCTTTTCTATTTGTCTAGAAGTTTATAAAAAGCTTTTTACATTTCCCTTTTACATTAGTTTACTATGAAATATTTTAAGCACATAAATCAAGTAAAATATAAGTTTTTTTCCTGATTACAGAAAGTCTATAATCAGAGAAAATGTTAGACAAATTCATGCAGACTTTCTATATGATATATGTAATGATACTTGCAAATAAATTTATTCACTATTTTACAAATTTCATCGAATTGAATAAATTTTTATTTAGTTATATGAAATTTATGCATGCACATGAAAAAAATTATTAAATTAAGAAAGAAATGCATACAAACTTTTAAAAAATAAATTATCATTAAATTTAATATTAATGTCTAAGGGAATTTTTGTTTTTACCATTCTTATAAAGTTTACTAGCTTTTAATCTATTTTGCTTTGTTGTTTACTATTAAGCTCTTGTTTATCATATTAATTGTAATTTGTATACTGACTTGTTATTATTCTTGAATCATATATATTTTATCTTTCAAACAATTTATGAACTTGTTAATGTCAATTATATTATGTTTACTTACTTATTTAAATTATTTCTTAAAATCCATCAAAATACAAACAACATAGATATTGACTTCTTGCCTAATGTTTTTATATCAGGCTTTTTGATCCACTAGTTGTTTAACTTTTCATCTTTGGCAGATTCTAACTAATACAGAGTTAATATGGAGGTATAATAGACAGCTTTCTGTTCACATCTTACCGATTCCATCTTATATATTTTGTGGGAAAAATCCAGAGAAACACCATTTTTCCCACCAAAGAAATACTGGAATACCTCCAATTTTCCAGTTTTCACATATTTGCCTTAGAGAGGTTTTACTGTACTAGGATTTATTCTTTGGATGTTAATTATTTGCTATAAACTTTTAATTAGAATTCTGTTGTAATTTTAAATTATTACATAGAATAACAATTTAAAATTAGAACATTTTTTGCAGAATTCTTAGATTCAGTATTCTATTGTCCCTTTACTTAATTACATTTTCCAAAATAATTTATTTTTATTTTACAATAACTTATTTATTTATTAACAGTTATTTATTGAAGTCATAAATTTCAGATTCTTGATTTGTTGACAATAGAAGAATTGATGTTAACCATACCAAAGAAAATTATAGTACCACGTTCATACTGGGTTCGTGTTTCACAAACATTATTTCTTGCAGGACTAGGCAGAGTAGATTTAATAGAAGCAGAGGTTAGTATTGATGAATAAATTATTTAAATTTTATTATATTGATTTTATTTTAATAATTAAAGTCATTAGCCATTCTTTTGATGTTTAAAAAGCATATAAGTTAAACACTAAGAGAATAGTTAATAATTTTAATTATTGACTAATTTATTATATTCTGCTAGAAAAAGTAAATAAAATCATTACAACAAAACTTAGACAATTTAGACAACAGCCAAAATTTTTCTTAGGAGTTTTTCTTTGGTAAAGATAAGCTTGACACTTAGAAGTGAAATGTAGAAAAGAATAATATAGGTAAAAATCTTGTGGGTACCGCTTTGAAGTGTCAAGTTTATCTTTACCAAAGAAAAATTCCTAAGAAAAATTTTGACTGTCATCTAAATTGTTATAAGTTTTACTTGGTGCAATTTCTTTTACATCTCAGATGTTTTTGTTTGGATATCAATTGTTTTTTGTTTAATAATTGTTTTATTACATGAAGATATAAGATGATGATGTACAATTTGTTTGCCAAGCATCGACTGAACACGCTGCCAACTGAATGCTTTCAATATTTATTTTGGTTGGCACTGATGAATGTGCTGCCAGTCAAACATGCTGCCAACTGTAGCTTTCTATATACCATGTAGAAAAATCATTATAAAAAGTTTTAATTTGCATATATTTGAGTTTTTGTTGTTCTGAGTAATGTTTTAAATAAAATTCATTCTTTTGGATGCATTTTTTATCCTTATAAACATAAAATTAAGCCATAAAACTGAAATATCTCTACAGAAAATCTCCATAAACTTTGACCTATTGACCCAGAAGTTTTGCTAGCACCTCACTAATAACAAGAAAGGCTTAAGTTTAAAATTTGAGATTTCTAAACCCAGTAGTTTTTCTTTACAGCATCTGCAGTGCCAGCTGAAGAAAAAGAATAAAATACAGCCTTTTTGGCAATTTTTGCACTTTTTAATTGCTGATATTTTGGCAACTGCTTTATAGAAAATCTTAAAATTTTGCACACTACCTAAGAAAATTACGTTTTGAATGAAATATTGGAAATTACTTTAGACATTTCGGGGGCAGATAAATTGACCTCCTAAAATTGGCAACTTTGATTCCTGTATTTATAGACAGTCTGTGACTTTTTTACTTGGAGGGGAGTCACTGCTGTGACTCTTGATATTAATGTTGTATTTATACTTAACAAACTTCACAAACATTATTTCTTATAAAACTAACCAGAGTAGATTAGAAGAAGCAGATGATAAGTTTGATTTGTTGTTGCTGAGCATTCATGATAAATATATTACAATAATAAAAAAATATTTTTTCATTTCTTATCAGTTTAAAATTAAAATATATTCTTAAATTATAATATATTAACAACTTTCTGTTCTTATATCTTTATATTAAAATATATAATTTGGTTATACAGTTTGTGAAAAGGTGAATCTACTGAAATGCTTTGTTACAATTTGAATGTTCTTGTTTGATTAGCAATTTACATTATTTTTTACTTATAAGACACACTGTTGTATTGAACCCATTACATTTTTCATGTCAATTTTTTGAGAAAAAATATTCTTTACAGTATAAGATGCATTTTGCTTATAGGATGCATTCTAATTTTCAGATAATTTTTAGGTACAAAAAGTGCATCATGTAAAATATTACTTAAATTTTATTGAAATTGCTAATTGTTAGTTATCTTATTAAGTCCTAGTTATACAGCTATTTATTGAGAAAGAGAATGTTCAGTTTGCATGAGTATTTTAGGTCTGATTTGGATCAGACTCCTACCTCTAAATAATAATTTAAAATATACATATGAAAATGGCATGCTGCATCTTATGCTCAAAACGAAACTTATCAAAATGATCACAAATGACTTTAAGGTTTTATCATTTCAATTTTATTGACTATTATTGGTTTTGAGGCATATTAATAGCCAATTGAAAATTTAACATATTATTTTATTTTTAGATTAGAACTAGCAATTGTATTAGATATTACTCAATTTTGTTGCATTGTAGGATTATAGGAGTTAATAATAAAAACACAAAACAAAAAAAATTATCACTATTATTATTATTAGACAGAATTTCTTTAATAAATTTCACTAATAACAAGATAACTTTTTGTCTTGTTATCAGTAACTTTGCATACAAATTTGAATAATAATTTAATTATTCAATTCAAAAATGTCTTATTTGAAACTAACTAACTAGCAAAGGAAAAAATTATTTGTATAATAATTATATAAATTTTAAGCATTGTAAAGAATGATATATTCATATGACATTGGTTTTTAACTTTTTAAAATTATTATTTGAATTTTACTAATGAATTTGTATAAACATAGATCTAATAAGAACAAAATTTATTGAAATATCTTCTTGTGCAAATTTTAGGATCTTGGAGGAATTTGTCTCACTGTGTTTGCATCTGATGATCTGCCAATTCATATGGTTTATTTAGAACAAGCAGAAAAATTTTATAACAAGAATGTAGGTACAGAATTGTTAAGAGTACCAAAAGGAGGTTCAGACAGATTAAAAGATTTCCCAGAACTTGTTCCAAAAGAATTTACAGTAACAGGTCAAGGATGGAAAGAAAGTTCTACTGATATTTTACTTTCATCAGCAGGTAAGAATTACTAAAAAATTATCTATTTGCTTCTAATTTTAAATTACATATAATAAAATACAATCATGATCAATTTATTAAATGTTTTTGATGTGCTCTCAAAGTTACTTACTATCATATTTACCTTTAATAAAAATTGATCTCAATGATTCAGTATTGTATTAATATATTAAACCAACAAAATTAATTTAAAATATTTTTAAAAATACTTTAAAAACTTTTTTCTTAGTTAACATTATTGTTGTAAAAAAAAAAATATGAATGAACTGCTTATTTCAGTGTTTCTAAACAATTTAAAAATATTCATTAAACCATATTCCATACAAAAACTTTAAAATCCAAAAGATATGTGTCTCACTCCCATTAAGGATAATTAAGCAAATTACTCTTAAAAACAAAATTATTTTTGACACATGCTTCTTGTCCTTAAGTATACTTGTGTCTACTTTGGACATTCTTGTGAACTAGGACTTGTTATACTGAGAGAAGAGAAACACCATTTCCAATTAAAATATATTTATTGTAATGTAATCTTGTATGCCACTACAATCAAGCATTTTGGACCAATTTCTCTCCTCAGCAGACATTACCATTTTCTAATTACAATTTAAAAATTAAATGTTAATTTATTCCTAAGTTTTTTAAAATATATATTAAAAAGCAAAAGACCTTTATATTTACATGTATACATTTTGAAAGAAACACATAATATTAAAATATATACATGTAAATATAAAGGTCTTGCTTTTTAAGATATATTTTTTAAAAAATTAGGAATAAATTAACATTTAATTTTTAAATTGTAATTAGAAAATGGTCGTTTGGCTCAAAATGCTTGATTGTAGTGGCATACAAGATTATGTTACAACAAATATAGTTTAATTGGAAATGATGTGTTTCTCTTCCCTCAGTATAAGTCCTAGTTTACAAGAATATCCAAAGTAGACACAAATATAATACAAAATTCTTTTGTTTTTAAGAGTAAAAAGAAACAAATAATTTCTTTTAACTGACAATGAATGCATTATTTTTAGTAGAAAAGACATTAGTTTAAATTTAAAAAATATTTATAACAATTTTAATAATAAAATAGAAAAAAAAAATCAATTTAAAATTTAATTTTTTAAGTATAATAAGTTATAATGTAGTCCTTAATAAATCTTGAACAAATAGTTCAATAAAAAATTGATGTAATAACACAAGTTTTTCTTGAATTATTATATAATAAAGTCTGATTGTGACATTTAATTTTTTACTCTTAAAAAGTGCTGTTTACTTGATTCTAATAATTAAATATATCCATAAAAAGTATCATCAAAGTTAGTTATAATATTTTGTATACTATTATGTTTAATTTTAAAAAGTTTTAAATACTTCAGATTTTACTGTAATAGTTCTTGCTGCCAAAGTAAATTTTATAGCTATTTGATTTTATACAGTAGAGCATCGATTATCCGACCCCCGATTAACCGCCACATCGGTTAACCGACCGTTCTAGTCGGCAAATTTCAAATGTCCGCTAGTGATGTGGCGCTACAATATTTGGGTATGTCTTGGCTACTTTAATATTATTTTTGTTAAATTTTTGGGTGTTTTAGCTGGCAACACCGGCTCAACCATTGAAGGGAGGCCAGTATTTAAACGAGACTTAATTTTCTAATTATGAGTGGTTGTTTGTTTTGTGAGCAATAAAATAATTTAAAAATAATTTTTAACGATACAATAGCAACGATTATTATTTTAAAAAAAATTTGTTAGGCTTAACATAGATGAAAATTCAACGCGAAGTTGGTTAATAGCGATATACTAATTTACTAATTACATGGGATGTACTAATATACTATACTAATAATGCATTTTTTTCATTCTTTTCGGTTATCTGATTTTTTCAGTTATCTGACCAACCTGAGTCCCCAATTGAGTCGGATAATCGATGCTCTACTGTATTATAAAATAAAAGAAATATAAACATTCAATAAAGAAGTCTGAAAATTTTTGTCTTTACAAAAAATTTCATACTGAATATTTGTGTTTTTATCTTGTCAATACAGAATCTGATGGAATTGTATTTTTTATTTTTAATTACATAAGTTAATTATCAATACATTTATAAATGTGCACATGTATATACATACAGTATATATACAAAACTTGCATACAGTACATATTAATATATGTATTGTATGTAAGATCAGAAAAAAAGATCATTGCATCTTATCTTCAAAAATATAAAATATCAGATCTGCAATATATCACTTTTCAGTATAACAATAAAACTATTATCATTGCATACCTAATTTTAATATATTTTTAATGTGATATTAATTTATTTGAAATAATATTTTTATATTGTATGAAAATGTTTCAGGATGGATATCTGTAACTTTGAAAGAAGGAAGAACTTGTAAATTAAAAGCATATACTCCTGGAAGTCGTGGTTGTTATTTAAGAAAACCTTCGTTGCTTCCTTTTGCAGTAAATATGAAAGGAAAAAAAATTAAAGCAACACCAGCTTATGAAATTAAATTTATTTAATTTATAAAATTTATTACTATATTTTTAAAATAATAAAAATGCTTTATTATCAATTAGACTTATAAATTATTTTCAATAATAACACATACTAGAGTATACTGAATTTATCAGTAAGGATTTTATAGAAAACAATATACTAATGTAATATTGAAAGTTGTGATTATTTGAATTGATTAATGGAAGAATGTAAAAATGATTACTTTGAAAAACAAAATCAATATATTTTTATCATGAATCAAATTTGTTTAATGTAATTAGTTCATAATAGGTAATGTATTTGAAATTCACATAATTTTAGTAACAATACATTAAATCAGGGGTGGCCAAAACGTGGCGCATGCGCCAAACTTGGCGCATTGGACGATTACATGTGGCGCTTCAGTCAGTTCTGAGCAACATCGCCAGATTTGGCTTCTTTGCAATTAAGAATATTACATAGAAAATTAATTTTTTANCAGGGGTGGCCAAAACGTGGCGCATGCGCCAAACTTGGCGCATTGGACGATTACATGTGGCGCTTCAGTCAGTTCTGAGCAACATCGCCAGATTTGGCTTCTTTGCAATTAAGAATATTACATAGAAAATTAATTTTTTATAGTCTGTCTTAGCAAGTTTATTTGTTGCACAATTCGTTGCAATGAACTTTACAGATAAAATGAGTGTTCTCCACATAGTAAATTACAGTGTATGCATGTATGTTTATTTTCGATCAGTATATAGGCGTCTAAATGACAGTGCTAACGTCCCACGATAGGGCTACTGTCCGGACGGTCCGAGAATCGGTTGGACTACTAACTTCTTGCGAGACCTGTTGAACTTTTATTTATTTATTTATTTTTTTTTTTATTTTTTTGCTTCTACGATGCACGATACATTCGTAGTCGTGTACACCACTCTCACTACCACCACATTTTTCATTACTTGTTGTGTGACAAAACTGAATTTTCGTCTTATGAATTGAAATACCTGATTAAGGGGTGGCCAAAATTTTTCTCCGCCCCGGGCGGCTAACACCCACGGTACGCCACTGTGCATCTGAACTCGTCTATCAAAAAATTGGCGCATGGTATGCAAAAGGTTGTCCACCCCTGCATTAAATTAATGATAGGTCAATATAAATTAATGAAACAAAAATAAAAATCTAGCTTTACTAGTTATATACAAGACAATATAATTATTTTACAACATAATCTGTAATTTCAATGCATTTCTGTCACAAGTTTGCATACACAAGTGTTGTCACAACATACTTCAGTTTATCATTGAGAAACTCTTAATTAAGTGTGTTGTTGAATTCATTGACTTACTACTGATTTCATTTCCTTTCAGATTTGAAATGTTTACCCTTTAAAAGTTTTTTCATCTTCAGAAAGTGGTGTAGAGAGATCAGGGGCTGTAATGAGGTTCTGGGAGTAAGGGAAATCCAATCTGATCAATGGCAGTAGCAGTAGCTCTGCTGGTGTGCAGACTGGCATTGTTAAGCCAAAGAAGTGTTTCATCAAGTAATCCTTCTTTCCTTTAGTTATAACCTTTGTCTTTCAATATAATGTTCAAAATTCATTGTGCTTCATTTTTCCGAAAAGATCTGCCAATACAACTTGAATATTACAAAATGTAGTCAACATGATCTTTCCTACTGAAAACTGTTTTAAACCTTTTGATCCTAGTGGTCCTAGATGGCTGAGTGGTTAAACTAATTGCAACAGTTGATTTCCTATGTAAAATTTCTTTTCAATTTTTGGTATTTTAAAGTTGGAAAAAAAATAGGATTTTGATTTTTAAAGGATTAATTTTCATAAAAATGACTCCAAATATATTTTTTTTTCTGCTCTTTCTTGCTATTTTACTCGAAACTATTAATGCAATATTATTTGTAAGTAGAATTATATGAAACATTGTATCTTAATTTGTATGCCATCATTTGGGTTAGTAAAAAGTCTTTAGTATCTTGTAAATAGAAATTAAATAAGTACTGAGAGAGGTGGTTCTCCCTGCAAAATTCCTCTTGTAAGATTTAAAGCAAGATATATACAGTTACCAGGATGATGATAATATAATTTGAGCAGGATGTATTGTAAAGGGGCAGAAAACTTATTTTCTCATATTGTCAGAGCATGAGAAAATAAGTTTCCTGCCTTTTTTTTTTGAAGTAGTTTTTTTCATCAACCTCTGCATAAACACCATATCAAAGACCTTTTCCAGATTGATAAATGCTGCATACAATTTACAATGTTTCCAAAGAAGGTGCAATTCTGTTAAAGAAGTTAAAAGAGAGATACTGTAGATTATGATTTTCAAAATTACCATGCAATAGAACAAACATCTTGTGAATCATAAATAGGTTAACATTGTTCCAATTTTTAGGAAATGCTGAGAGTTTATTAAAATGATTATCTTTTAGGAATCATCTAATTGAGACATTTAATGTACTGTACCAATAGTAATTTAAGGAATTTTGGTGGAACTAAGTTCTTTCCTGGAGAAGAATCTGTTCACATTTTATCATTCACCTTATGTAATTTTTTTATATGTATTTCTGATTCTAAAAAATCGTTAGATTCACAATTACATTCTAAATCATTCTAAAACTCTCCAATACTGGGATAGACATACACAACATACCAATACCAGCACGTTTGAAATTAAGAAATATTTAGTAATGTTTTCATATGTTACAAACAGATAAAAACATTAGTAAATATTTCTTAATTTCAAGTGTGCTGCTGGTATTGGTATGTTGTATATACAGTCGACCCCCCATAACACGGTAGATATGTTCTGGTTTTTATGAATTCATTTTCTATGAGTCCAGCCAATCATAGCCCGGCATGTATGCAGTTTACGGACTACGGCTGTTTGAAAGGTTTTCTTCCATAAAATTAATCGATTCTAGACTAATTTGACTCAACATTTCCAAAATACGTATAATTTTTTGGGAATAATCCATATAAACTATGCTATAAACAAAAAATTGTAGGATTACTTACCGAGTGTGCACCATTTGACTACGCCATTGCTTAAGCTTGTTTTCGTTGTGGAGCTTGTCATCGAATGGCGCTCGCATGCTTCCTGATAAATTATTTTTTTTTGTGAAAAATTTGCTGAACTTTGGAGACATCATTAATATAAAAATAATTTTTATGGACGTTAAATAATAAATGGTTTTTAGTAGGTCCGCTGCTCACACTATAAATTAGGTATACTGCCCAAATCAGTTAGAAATTGATGAAAGTATGAAAACCAATCAGTATATTTTTTAAATACAGTACATTCTTCATAAGGCTACTGAGACAAAATTTATTAACAATGGATCAAAATATACTAGGATTTTTATTAGTAAATTAACTTAGACTCAACCTTTTAAACTTGTCTTTTTTGCTTTGTTAAATTCATATAAATCCTTTTTAATTTCTTATATTTTTTAAGTTCCCAATGGTAGAATTATTTCTATATTGATATAAACATTGTAAATATTGCTGGTTTTTACTTTTATTAATAAAACATTACCAATTAAACCAAGTTTTTTAAAATTCTTTGCATCTTGAAGTTTTACCCTGACAAATAATAGAGAGGTTGCAGCCGATGTTTTCAGCCCAAAACGTAAACATCGAGTGCCACCATCTGGCAATTCTAGAAGGTTTTTGAGTATAGTTTAATATAGTACTGAATATTATTCTCTAGTAATGTAGTGTAATCTCCCTTTGAAATTATTGATATTTATATTTTATTATATTTCTCTGCATAATATTGACTCTTTGTTTGCTAGTCTAGCATGCAAGTAGAAGTTTGGCTTAAATTTCTTCATTTTTTTGTGTTTGGGGTTAAAATTATGACATATTTTATTAAAATGATTATTTAAGCATTTATGAATAATATTGTAAAGAAACAGATGATTTTAAATCAGAAATTATTTAATTATTCAATTTTTTTGCAAGTGATATGAAGTGCCTATAGAATTTACATATATTTCTGTTCATAATAGCTTATCATAATTCTGTAGTAGTAGGTTTGTTCTTTCACAGCATCTTCTACCATCAATAGCATAATACATTTGTAAATTTTCTAAAAATAATTTTCCGAGCTGCTTTCAGATTTACATAAGCCACTACTTCCCTCAACAAAAGTATGAAGTAGTCCTATTGTCCTATCATATGGTAGGAGACACGACGCTAATTAAAAATAATTATTTAGTGTTATTACACATCCTATAAATACTTTAAAATAGTTTAATTTGTTTATTTACTTTTGCTGGTAACATTTGTCGTTATTAAATGTTTCTGCCATTTTTCAACAATATCCCATGAGTCAGTGCATAATGTGAACATGTGGCGCAAAGTGTTTTACTTGGAGTTCAAATGTCAAATGTGTACTTCTGCTTGCCGTACAAGTTTAACATTTGAACTTCAGCCGCAACTTCTATTAATAAATGTATTTAAACTTTCTTTTTAATTTTTGAGTATAGTTTAATATAGTGTAAGTACTGATTATTATTCTCTAGTAATGTAGTATAATCTCCCTTTGAAATTCTTGATATTTATATTTTATTATATTTCTCTGCATAATATTGACTCTTCGTCACAAAACAACCAGTCTTGAAAATAGTTTGGGTTAAGAAATGATTTATCTGTCACTTATAAATTCTGTATGCAAATCAAGTAGAGATTCAGAGCATATTTGAAAATTATTGAAGGTTTCCCTATATTATTTATACATGATATTTCAGATGGAAGATCTGTGTTAAATCATCCCTTCAAAATATGTAATTGTGAGTCCTGAACTGCTTTGATTAATGGGGCTCAATGTATCGGATCTGATGTCTTTTGATTTCCAAATATTAAAGTATAATTTATTCAGACCAGAATACAAACTATCAAGATATGTAGCCTTCTAGAATTGAAATTACCAATTAAAATGTATCTCGAGATATAGCGCAAGCCTTCTAGAGTTTTAAAAATACTCAAAAGAACATTGTTACATTTTAAAAAATTTAAAAGTTTTATGAATATACAAAAAAAACTTTTTGTTTTCT